AATCCACTCACCTCAGCCTCCCAAAGCGCTGGGATTACAGGCTAAGCCACCGAGCCCAGTTGCTCCTGACTTTTTTAAGGGTAGGCAGGGACATGTCCCTGATTTGGGGACAGAGAAGTCTGCTCTGATGGCCATTTAGCATTGGTGGCTGAGGCTGGGGCTGAGCAGGGGGTGAGGGGGACTTTTTAGGGAGAAATGGCTACAACCTTAGAGCAGTCCCACTGAGGCATGCATCCCACCCTCCTACCTTCAGCCCCTCTCCTACCTGCTTTCTCCGTGGCCTGCCCAGCGCCCGCCATGCGACCACAGGCCACACACAGCCGGTGGCTGCAACGGGGACATCGCCAGTGGGTGTTGAAGAGTCCATGGTGGCAACGGCTACAGCAGCGTGGAATGCCTGGGTTGTCTTCTGTCACGGCTGGCCCCTGGCCTGCTGATCAGGGGAAAGAATAGGGTCAGAGGGTTGAAGGTAATGGGCCCCTTTGGAGGATGTCATGTGAGAGGGTTCCAAGCAGAGGTGGGGAGAGGCAGGAGACGGTTTCCATGGAGGGTACCCCCAGGGAAAAGGAGATGAGCCCTTGACAGTTACCCCTACCTACTCAACCGCCCTGTCAAGAAACCATACTCTCCAGCAAACCCTTCCAGGGAGAGTAGAGGCCTCAGCCCCAATTCCTGCCCCACGCCCAGCCCTGCTCCAGGGACTTTCCCACGGGCTCTGAATTACTAATCCACACCATTTCCAGCACATTCCTTCCTCCACCCCTATCTTCCCCGGCCCCACATGCTACTAGAAATGGCCACATATGGTAACCATGCTCAGGTGGCATTTCCTCCAAGGGAGTTTGGTTTTTCATTTCTGTTTTTGTTTTTTTAGAGACAGGGTCTCCTTCTGCTGCCCTGGCTGGAGTGCAGTGGTGTGATCATAGCTCACTGCAGCCTTGAACGCAAGGGCTCAAGCGATCCTCTCACCTCAGCCTCCTTAGTAGCTGGGACTACAGACACACACCACCACGTCTGCCCAGCTAAGTCTGTTTTACTTTTTTTTTTCTTTCTGAGTTGGAGTCTCACTCTGTCGCCCAGACTGGAGTACAGTGGCCGCTCCTGGCCACTGCAGCCTCAACCTGCTGGGCTCCGGCGATCCTTCCGCCTCAGCCTTCCAAGTAGCTGGAACTACAGACACACACCACCACGTCCGGCTCGTTTTTGTGATTTATTGTAGAGACGAGATCTCACCAAGTTGCCCAGGCTGGTCTCGAACCCATGGGCTCAGGCAATCCTCTCACCTCAGCCTCCTTAAGGGGCGGGATTACAGGTATAAGCCACCATGTCTGCCTTCTCTCTCTCTTTGAGTCAGAGTCTCACTCTGTTGCCCAGGTTGGAGTGCAGTAGCATGCTCACGGCCACCACAACCCTTGACCTGCTGGGTTCAGGTGATTCTTCCACCTCAGCCTTCCAAGTAGCCAGAATTACAGGCATGCGCTACCACACCTGGCTGATTTTTTTGATTTATTGTAGAGATGAGGTCTCACTGCCCAGGCGGGTCTCGAACCCGCGGGCACAGGCAATCCACTCACCTCAGCCTCCCAAAGGCACGGGATTACAGGCTGAGCCACCGGGCCTGACCTGTTTTACTTTTGTAGAGATTAGGGTCTCACGGTGTTGCCCCCGTTAATCTCAAACTCCAGACCTCAAGCAATCCTTTTGCCTCAGGTTCTCAAAGTTCTGGAATTACAGACACGAGCCACCAGAGTAGGGTTTTTTAAGAGTAAAGTATCAGGTGAAGCCATTGAGCACAATTCGGCAAACACCTTGTCATGACCCCTTTGGGCGCAGGGATTCAGAGCTGGTCAGGACGTGGCCCTGCCCTTCCAGCACTCACATTCCAAGTAAGGAGACAGACCCACAGACACGGCGATGACTATGACACCATGGGGCGGGTGCCAGAGCCTGAAAACGCATCAGGATGAGGGTGGGAATGGGCGGGGGAGCTTCCCGAGATGGCCCCACAGATGAGTAAGTTTTCATTCACCAGGGAGGAAGGGAAGAGCAGGGCATTCCAGACCCAGGGAACAGCCAGTGCCAAGGCCCGAGGGGATGGACAAGCTAGAGGGAGCCGGGAAGGGAAGGACGGGTGGTGCATGTGTCGGGAACCCAGGCTGGGAGTGGCAGGAGCCGACAGGAGCCGGCTGAAGACATGCCAAGGGGCCTGGCCTTGCTTGGGCAACGGGGAGCCCCCAGTGATCCTCACCCAGGGACCACCTGCAGGCCCAGGGGTGTGTGTTTACGAAGATGACTCTCCGCTGCTGTGGAAGGATGGCCGGAGGGAGAGCCTGGAGCCAGATGAACCAGCCGATTGCCTGTCTCTCTCTCACACTCCCCAAGATCCTGCCAGTCCTCCAGCCCCTCAGTGACTCCCCCACCTCCCACGGCTCTTGCAGATACTTGGAACTCAGTCTTGTTTTCCCAACAAGCCCAAAAGCTTCCAGAGAACTGGGCTGGACCAGGTTTGACACCTTCCTGACAGCCCCCCTGCCCAGGACAGACACTTCAGCGTTGACCAAGAATGAGGGCAAAGTAGGGTGGGGGTCTCCTGAGGTCGCAGCAGGCCTAGGAGCCAGTCATGGCGACAGGGAAGAGACACCGAGGTCTTGCTCACCTTCTCGCTGGGCCCAGGACAGGGCCTCCCGCTCCCTCCGCAGCAGGCGACACAGTCTGTCCCCTAAACCGCTCAGCAGGTGCTTGGCCAGACCCAAGCTGATCCGGGTGTCTGGGTCAGACCCTCGGCCCTCCTCAGAGCTGGCGGTGGCCTCTGCATCTTCCTCCTGCTGCTGCTCCCCTCCCAGAGGCAATCTGGAGAGATGACAGAGGAGGGTAAGGTGGGCGCCTCCCTGGGGAGGCCACTGGGGCATTGGGGCAACGGGCTCACCTCCGAACTTGCTGGGCGTGGCAGGCGAGCCCTCCCCCTTCTCCAGCTGCCTGGGCACAGCTTTGGCATTGAGCGAGGCCTGCCGGGAGAGCCAGGCATGGTATGTCCTGAAGCCCGGGGTCCTGGAGGCTGGCCTGGCCATTTTGAGGTCCTGAGAGGATAAGGTAACTGATCAGGAGTCTGGGCTCTGGGTTTCTGTGAACCCAACCCCTGCCTTAGCCACACTGAGCCACCCAGCCACCTGCCCAAGGTCTCTGAAGCCTAATTCAGAACCAGCGAGCATGGATCAGGCAGTAGAAGCTTCCCATACGAGGCTGAGCAGGGAGCCTGAGACCGAAGGGTAGTGAGAGAAGGGTCTGTCCGATGTGTCAGGCCCAAGGCTGAGGGCAGCTGGGGCGATTGTCCTGACACAAGTGCAGGATCCAGCCAGTGTAGACTTTGGATAGCTCCACAGAGGGCTTAGTGATGCCGCTGGCTGCGTGACAACACGAGGAGACAATCTCAGCGTGGACGGAGGGCGCTGGAAAGTGAGAAGGCTGAGAGTTTCAACACAGACCACAGGTGCAGTAACCCAAGAAGGCGAAGGGGCCAAGAACTTTGCAGCGGCCAGGGAGAGTGCAGACAGACCCGTGCCAGGTGCAGGGGTATGTGGGCAAGGCTGTGGAGAGTGCCGGATCCAGGCCCAGCCATTCAGGAAGCTGAGAAAGCGAAGTGATCCTGAAGAACTGAGACCAGGGCCAGCAGTGCCAGAACCCTCCATGAAGGGCTCGAGGTGGCAGAGGGCTCCAGGGTGTGCCCAAAGCCTTAACACTGGCAGAGTCCAAACTGAGTCTCCAAGCTCCATCTGGTCAAGAAAGCAGCCGTTCTTGGGGCAGGACAAGGAGTCCTTCAGGAGAGGTAATCGCCAAACCAAAATTTGTGGCACAAATAACCATAGCGGAAAATATTTTTGCATATTTACAAGTGCCAGGAATTCTTCAGAGCTCTTGATGTGAATTATCACAGCATGTAATTTTTGCAGTCGTCTCCATGAGGTAGGTGCCATCTTTATCCCCATTTTATAGATGAAGAAACCGAGGCTCTCACCCAAGGTCACACAGCTACCAATCAGCAAAGTCAGGAACCAGGCACTCTGACTCCAGAGCCCGTGCTCTGAACCATGTCATTATACCGCCAGCCACACACCGTGGCTTGGGAAGCAGCAGAGATAGAAGCCACTTGCTGGAAGGTTCTGCCTGTTGACTCTGAGGAACTCCCAGAGAGCCATCACGATCCAGATGGGAAACCTGACAACTGGGTGTGATCCACTCGTAAAAGGCCTATGGCCCCCATTGCCCTGCAAAGCCCCAGCCCTGGCTGCCCCCCACTAAGTGGGGCTTCCTGTAGCCCCTCCTTTGTCCCTTACCTCTCTGGTCATCATGCTGTCCTGGTTCCGCCTTGTTCCCTATAGATGCGTCCAGCACTTCTTGCCAACCCCTGGCCCCCTGCCCTGCAGTGCCTGGGAAAGGGTCAGGTGGCCGCTTAGGGGCTGGGCTGCCCACTGCTCCCTGGATCTCAGGGCTGCCTGCCCTCTTGAGGGCCCGGAGCCGGACAGCTGGGCTCTCCTCATCCCCAGGGCAGCCGCCAGGACATCCAAACTGCTCAGAGTGTCGCGTGAGCCATGTTTTCTTCAGCTTGGTGTGGTGACTGGGGGGACAGGACCTGGGACCAGAGGCCTTGCGCACTGCCTCGCTGGGTTCACTGGCCCCGCTGGTGCCCCCTTCCAGGCCCTCCTGGCACTTCCCGCAAGGGCCAAGACCCCCATCTCGAGCAGGCAGGTGGGATGAGCAACAGTCACCCTGGGTGGTGGGAGGCTCAGGAGAGGGGCACCTTGGTGTGGCTGGCGGCCCCAGCTGGCACCCAAGGCTCCCACTGCCTGGTCCAGCCCAGACGTTGCCAAGAGAGTGAACAAGGCCTGGGGGACAAGTGGCCCAGGGGGTCCGGGGAACGGCATCTGGATGCCCCAGGAAGAGTGGGCAAAGATTCTGCTGCCTGCCAGCTCCCGTCGCTCCATCCCTCTGCTGGAGTGAAGGGCGTTCTGCCTCCCAGGCTCTCTGGAGATGCCCACCAGGGGCTAAGCCCAACAGCCCAGGTTCCGCAGCTGCCAAGGGCTCCTTTGCCAGCCTGAGAATGTTCGGATCCTTGTGGTAAAAGCCCTGAAGAGAGGAAAAGGGTTAAGCTAGTGTTGACTTGGGTTCCCAGTGCCTAAATGGAGAGGCAGAACTGGCAGCCAGCAGGGACGTGAAAACACTGAAGAAGTCCCAATCTGGTTAATAAATGGCCCGAGAGTCCCCTTCCTACCCTTATCCTCCCCTGGGATGTCTCAGACTTCCCCACAATCCAGCAACTAAGGGTTAATGTCTGGCACCACCAAAGGGCATCCACAGGATCTATGTGGATTGTTTGGTGCCCTGAGCATACCGGTTTTAAAATATTTTAAAACCTCATCTCTGGGCATGGGAGAAGGTGCCTATGGAGGAGGTGCCCTGGACAAGCCACGCGGTCGCCTGTCTGTCCCACTCCCAGATGGAGGGGCCTGCCTGTCCACCCATCGACTCCCACACTTGTCAAGGCTGGAGTTCCCAGGGCCTTGCCCCGGGTGGAGAACGGGTGAGTCAGTGGCTGCGATGCCCTGAAGGCAGGGGACGGATAGGGAGATGGAACTGCTCAGAGGAGGGCTTGCTTGGTGACTTTGGGACCTGGGACAGCTCTGCACTGGCAGACTCCTCTCCCTGGGTATTGTCTTATCTTTTCATCACAGTAGAAGGGCAAAATGGTGCTGCCCTGGCCACTCGGGGACCACCGAGCTCCAGGCACCTTATCTGCCCCCACACTCACCTTGCTGCCTAAGCTGAAGGCAGAGGGCACTTTGGGCTGGCCCCCCGAGTACACCCAGGGGTGTGGGGCCAGAGGCCAGTCACATGGACGCTCTGGGGGCAGGCCGGACACTAGGTAGGGTGGCAAGCAGGTGGGCATCCAGAAGGGAGCTCGCTCCAGGATCTTGGTCTCCAGAAGGAAAGGGCAGTGCAAGGGCCGGAAGGCCACAGGGTCACTCTTGGGATGGCCACCACTGTGCTCAGGAATCAGGGGGCTGTAGCGAGGTGGGCACGCTGGCCTGCAGAACGCCAGCGGGTGGGTGAGCATCGCCTCCTTCCAACGCAGTCCCTCCTTGCTGCCCAGCCAGTTGGCCTTCCTCTCCCCATTCTGGGTGCCCTCACCCTCCACGAGTGGGAGCGTGTCCTTGGGGCCCTGGGGCAAGCCAGAGGGAAGCCAGGCGTCTAGGGTGCTCGGGATGCCCCTCCAGAAGGGAGCAGGCTCTCCCAGGCACAGTGACCCATGGCGCAGGCCATCTCGAGGCGGGGTGCCCGGCTCCTGTGCCACAATGCCGTTCTCAGGGGCAGTCTTCTCCCAGGCTGGGGTGTTCTTCAGGAAGCTGGGCGTACTCTCCATCACTCTCCTGCCCTCATGGGGCTCTCCCAGAGGGGTCCCTGAAGCATAACCATCAAAGCATGAGTGCCTTGGACACACGCCCCAAGTGCCTTACTGCCTAGCACGGAGTGGGCACCGCCCTGGCAGTACCAGAGCAGCTCAAACCTGTAAGGCAAGTGCCAGCCCACAGCCAGGCACCATGCTGCCTGTCCACATGTGGCCAGAAGGATCCTGCCTGGGTGGGATGCTCCAGTGGGGGGGGGCTCATCCCTTTCCCCAAATTCCTGGGTCTCAACAGCCCACCTGGGCCAGAGGCCCTCAGCAGAGGCTGCCACTACTAGGAGGAGACGTCCTGGCCTCACCGAGCCAGGAAACTGGTCCTGAGCCATGGGGAAGGACAGAAAGCAAGAATCCAAAAGCTGAGCTCGTGGAAGGCACTGAACTGGGGAGACAAGAAGGCTGGATCCCGGCCCTGACTCAGTTATGTGCTGTGTGGCCTTTGGCAAGTCATGTCACTTCTCTGGACCTCACTGTGTCCTTGTATAAAAATGGGTCTCAGAGGATTTAGGGGGTGCTGCCCGGCCACGCCCACACTGCAGCGCCGGCCACGCTTCTAGAGGTGGCAGTGCAGGCAGGTTAGGCTGGGGTCCTAGTCCCCCCCGTGGGGGGTATGGGGGGGGCTGCGAGCTCGGGCTGCTGGCAGTGTCTCTCCCTACACCTGGGCAGCCCTGAGTGGCCTCTACCCAGCGCTGGTCAGTTTCTTGGCGTCTCGAGCAGAGTCCCAAGGCAACTGCTGGGGGTTGGGCTCTCCCCCCTGGCCCCCGAGGGGAGAAGTGAGCCAGCACAGGAGAAGGGGATTAGGAGGCCTCAGCTGGATGGGTCAAGCTGCCTTGGCCAGTGCCAGGGAGCCGGCAGCCGCTGGAAACTGCGGCCTGGCGAGGAGGGGGGAGGGAAGGAGGCGGGGAAAGCGGGCCGGGCCCCAGAGAGAGGAGAGGGAGGGAAAATTGAACGTGCGTGCAAGGGACCGGGATGACAGGTGGCACCGGAGTGGCAGCGCTCTCCTGGCGCAGTCCCCCCGGCCGGCCCGACCAAGCCCCAGGAGGGAGGTGAGGGCAGGGCCGCGGGCGCCTGGGTTTCCGGAGCCGCCGCCCCG